AAACTGACTGTGCCGGGAAGCCTCTACATCCAACTTCTACTGGATAGTTCCAGGTCTGGCATCCTTTTTCCCTACATTCTGCCAGCAATGGGTCGTATTTTGCCTTCATCTCTTCATGGGCTTCATCGCATCTTTCTTCCCAAGAAACTGTCAGCTCTATGACAATGATCTTCTTTGTACTTGATGACCACAGTACCATATCAGGCCTGGGATTAGTTGGAATTATCTCTGGGAATGTCAGTTTCTGACCTAGATCTACGGCCAGCTTCCAATCGTCTGCCTGGTTAAGTATTCCGGAGGTCTCTTCTCTCTTCTTTGCTGTTTCACCTTCTTTTACAAAGCAAATCTGTGTATGTTTGCTTTTACTCTTCCGCTCTTTTTCTATAGTGTCTGCCATCTCTTTTAGAATCTGATTATGACGCCATGTGTATCTTCCCTGTGATAATGCCACCTGGCAGGAGGATAGAATGTGCTGTAGGGTTCCTCTTTTTCTAAAGGGGACACTCTGGTGTTTCTATGAGATCCCATCTGTGGAGATTGGCTGGTGTTGGTAGCAGATCGTACACTGAGCGTAGTGGAAATTGTTGTTGGAACTGCGGGTATTTCAAGATGGCTGCCCAGGATAGTGTCCGTTGGTCTATTTCCCATCTTGTCCAAGGCCCCTGGCCTCCCATCTCCACTGCCTTAGCTTGTCGGTTTTCTTGTATTATATCGTTTAAGTGTGTAAATGTTTCCTTGATTTCAGTATTTTAAAAATTTTAATTTCCCTGAAAATCCCTGTCATTCACGTAGCATTTAAGTGTATGGTGAATAGTTATTTTGTATGGTGAATAATATCACATTGATTCTACACATGCACGCTTAACTTGATATTAAAATGATGCTGGAGTTGACAACATCAATATATGTAGTATTTGTAGACCAGGTCTTCCAACAAGCTGTTGGAATTTCGATGGGCATTTATTGTTCTCCTTTATAAACCGACCTTTTTTATATTCCTATTTAATTCAATATTCAGATATATCGACGTCGTTTTATCAATTAATAATAGTTATACTTTTATTCATATGACGACTCGATATAACACAGTGAACTCGAAATTAAAGACACCTCAGAGTCTATTACATCAATTTCATATTTGGATTTTGATACCGACTATAGACGATATGGGCCAACTAATAACTAAATTGTATGACAAACGATATGACTTCAGCGTTTCCATTGACAACTTTCCTTATTTATGTAGTTACAGTTCGTTTTCACTTGCATATGTTGTCTATGTCTCCAAACTTATTCGAAACTCAAGAGCAGGCTCTGCGTACAATCAATTCTTAAACCGAGGCAGGCTACTGACAGATACGTTGACGCTTGTTACAGAGTTTTCATCATCGTTAAGTCAACGTTTCATAAATTCTATGGTCGTTATAATGACCATGTTAGCAATGTAACCTATCTTTAGGTGTTTTTAATGACATATTTCAAACCAATTGTTAGGCTTTTGTTTTTCATTCTAAACTTAACTATGGACTATTCCGTCTACATGTACCTGATCAATACATAGGGCTAATGGTGGGAGTGATCGTTCGACAGGGGACGATTAGTACTCCTAGGAATCTGATCCCACCTTTGGAATTTCCTGAGTTCCTTGTTAAAATGCCCTGTTCACAGATTTGAATTGTTTGTAGGTTTTTTTAGAATGGTCACTGTTCATTGTCTACAATATTTCATCAAAATAATACAAGAGTGATCGTTCATAAATATGTTGTAACATCATTTTTGAAAGTCAATGTGGGAAGTGACAAAAGATAATAAAAAGTAAACAAGTTCAAGAATTCAGTTTTACGTACAGGAACCCCTGGAAACATCAGAGATGGGATCAAGCCCTGGGATTATGAAACATCCTAATTCCAAATCTTGATTTTGCGATGAAATGATTTAGCCGAAAAACAGTCCAAAATATAAATACTATTCGACATTCTATCCTCAAACTGCATTTGCCTGCAAATTCAGATTTTCAATTTACAAGCTATAAACATGTTACAAATGATTGAAATTTTGACTGTAAGCTAAGTTTGTTTCAACTCCCAGGACCAGGTGTTTTGGAGGAGTAAGCACCCCTTGTCAATCGGTCACACTCGTCGTGAGGCTGAGCTCTTTGTACTGATGAAAAATATCGGAGTATTCTGTACAAACAAGTCAGTATATGAAAAATGGCTTAAAATTTTTTACTTAAAACTGTAGTCTATATTCGACCAAAGTTTTTGTAAACAAGCTCGTTGTATCGGCACTTGTGAGATGCTCTTTTAATACCCCTTGTAACATCAACTTATTTTCAGTAGCTGCCTTGGCTAAGAAAATTGATTACGCAGAACATATTCTTGTGTACTGAATCACCTGGGGGACATTAGCACCATATCCGGGTGATAGTGGTATATTGTACCATAGGACTGGCGGTAAATTTAGATTTTGCTTTGATGTTGCTGTGGTGTATTTGCCAGAAGAATCACAGTTTTTTTTAAGTCACGCCTACCTTTTGGCATCAAGCCATACTGTGACAAGACCTTGACTGATGAATAAATGATGTCAATTTCCAGACCTGGCTGATCGATGAATGAATTAAGTCAACATTTTTAATTTCAAAAATACTAACATTAGCTTGTCGATGTTAGCTTCATAAATGTTTCTGTATGTTTTCTCCGCGTATCCTTAATCAGTAAATGATACGTCCTATCTCGAGTTCTCGTCAATCTCTTTCCCGTCTCCAAATACAAATAGCAATTTCACATCAGAAGTCCCCGCGTTTTTTTTTACTTCCAATACCATTTCAAACTTTCATTAAAATGTCAAAAATCATTTCATTTTTTTTTTGTACGCTGACTGCCATATAGAAAAAGTTCAATGGTGATGTTTCCCATACCCCCCCCCCCCTTTTTAAAAAAAAAACGATCTAGAAAGATAAATTTTCTTTCAGACTTCACGACTTGAATATAAAAGCCTACAATCGCTACCCCTGTACCTGTTCCTGACAAAGATCATGTTTTCTGCGTCTTCAACATTCCAAAGGTACAATATCTTCACAGGTACCAATTCCGAATCTTTCATCAACAAATTAGGTAGCAGTGACGCAGCTAAATATGATCCTTGCAGATGGAGACAGCTTATATATACGGACCGTGGCTTGACACCTCGTAGTAGGCGGTGCTAATTATCAACTTGCTTTTCTCTCATTGGTCCTCTGGTACAAGTAACTTACACAATAGATATTAATTGGTTGGCGGTAAATACACTCACAGTTTTTATTCACTCGGGGCTCCGCCCCTCGTGAATGAAAAACTGTGAGTGTATTTACCGCTAACCAATTAATATCTATAGTGTAACTATAACTTGCTTTATAGGTTATGGAAGCTGACGATAGAAAAGTTGAAATCATCACGTTTATCATTAAGTTTTTAGTTTGCCATAAATGTCTTTCTCTAGTAAAACATCTAAATATGAAACAGGTGTACCAGACTCTATAGTATCTTGTGACACGATGGCGTGTTTTTTTTCTTTGAAGGAGCTCTGTGGGATATCTTAGTTCAACGTATGAATGAAAATGAATATTGTTAATTATTTACTATAAATGTCGTAGATATAATCTAAATTTTGAATTGACTTTTTTCAGGCCTTCTTTGTTTGTATTTTAGAATTTTATGAAGTTTTGGAATTCAGGAAAGGTACATGAATGGCAATAAAAAATTTATTTAATTGATGGGAATATTGAAAATATTTAAAACTGGCATGTCTCATAATTTTGAAGAATTTTTTCCTCTGAAGGAAAACTATGAGTATAAACCAATCGAAAAATTAACATTCTGAGAGTATTGTATAAACAATACTAGTGTCCTACCCGCAAATTAATCTGGCTCCCCTTGAAAATTAAAAAAAAAACTTTTATTCCGTCATAAATCATAGAAATGAAACGAATTGCAAATTGATCTGTAACTCATTAAGGTACACTCACACACCAAAAATTAGCTCAATATCTGCAAGCGTTTAGAAAACCAAGTGGTTGAGACTGACAGGCCGCCAGAGGAGAAGGAACCCTCCAATTTCACCAATAAGGGACTTGTTTAATTTATTTACACAAGTGAACAACACTCAATTTCTTGAAATAATACTAGTAGACTATGTTAGTCCATGCTCTGTCAGCTTGAATTAGCACTGATCACGTAATCTTTATTCTTCTGAATTGAATAAATGGTACGCATTCGGCCACTCAACTTTATCCTTCTTATTTTTTTATCCACTCTTGACAAAACGTTTAGGTCCTCCACTTCCTATCTAACCTATCGCCTGGCATAATCTTCGACAAATTTTAGTTCTTCTATTTACTTCAATTATTACATAATATATGAAAAAAGCTTGTGCTATCATTGCAAGACATCACAGATCATTTTTCAATTTAATATCAAGCTAATTAGCATTGGTATCTAAGGCTAGCTTTATGGAAATTCGATTTCTCTAAAAACGTATTTATTTTTGTTCTTTTGTGGGGTGCAAATGTCATCTTTTTACCAGAGCGTTTGTAAGACTTCAAAGAACTTGAATCATGCATGAAATTAAAATTGTTGCACAAAAAGATTTCTATTTCAAGCTTTTTAAATAAAATAATAATTTTACGAATTATCGTCCCTAGCTAAGGAGCCTTAAGACCTCATAATTTAATTCACTCTGACGTTAATACAATAGTTTTGTAACCAATATATATATATATATATATATATATATATATATATATATATATATATATATATATATATATATATATATATATATATATATATATATATATATATATACAAGCCTAATATATATATATATATATATATATATATATATATATATATATATATATATATATATATATATATATATATATATATATATATATATACAAGCCTAAAATACAAAGCGTCGAAACAACTGGGTGCCGTTTTGTTAGAGGACCAGTTTACACATGCAAATCACGTGGTTCATCATATGACTGCATCCTATGATAGTTGTAAACTATTGTCCCACCGGTGTCGTACAAGATGAGGTCGATTTTAATTCTCTCTTCCGTCCTTTTGGTTGCAGCATGTGTCTCTGCATTACAAAGGTAAGAGAAAGTGCTGAAATTCATGCAATTTACGCTGGAAGAGCTTCAATGGTGAAGATGTTAAGTATCATAGTATGTTTAATTTCAACTTCGCTGCTTTGAAAACAGTCACATGCAGTGATGTTATTCCATTTTTTTAGCAAATACATAACACCTTGTGTGCGCTGAACAAACGTACATTTGTAACTATGATTATCATTCCTTCAAATTGCGTTGAGTTCAGAGCAGTCAATAATCTTGCTGCCCACAATTGACCTTTATCAGATGTTTATCACTGTTAATAATATAACATTTGTAACAGGAAAGGAGAAAATGTATGGCTGGGCCAGGAATCGAACCTGGGACCCCTGCATCACTAGTAAGATGCTCTATGGACTGAGCTAGCTAGGTCGATATCCACGGCCCAAACCATTACATTCCTCCCTCCTTAAATGTTTTCACGCTCGAAGACACAACCCAAGTTCTTATTAGCCCCTGGCAGGACTTTCACCTGCAAGTCCAGGGGTGGTCACGGCACCAAATCTGTAACAGGAAAGGAGAAAATATATGGCTGGACTGGGTATCAAACCCGGAACCCCTGCATCACTAGTCAGGTGCTCTACTGACTGAGCTACTGAGGCCTATATCCACGGCCCAATCATCACACATTCATCTGTTCAAGAAGTAACTGTGTAGTCGCTAAAAAAATTGATTGCTTTAGATAGCCTTTCGACATTGTTAGATAGCCTCACAACTTTTAGAACTTTGAGAACAAAGTCTCTTAAGGAGATGCAATTTGCATTGTGATTTATTAGTGCATTGTTTTCAGAAGAGTTCTAAGTTGGAAACCTTCACTGCTCCCAACATGCCCAAGTGGGACATTTTAAGAGGCTGAAAAAAATATACATATAGGAAAAAATATGATATTAAAGATAGCTAAATCAAGCTATTTTGAATAGGTAATTCTCAGTTTTTAGTTGGCATCTAATGTCACATACTTTTATGTATTTTTCAGAATCAAACTGCACAAGTTTGATAAAACTGTTCGAGAGACTTTGTTAGAAAAAGGAACAAGAGTGGAAAATTTAAAGAGGAAATACAGTCGGTTAATCACAGGTCCAGAACCAGAGCCTCTGTCAAATTATATGGATGTAAGTCCTTATCATTAATATCAGGTTATGTTTAAAAGTGTATTATGTATTTAAGACATTGTTTGAAATTACAACTAGCCTAGTTTTATTTTGGTACAGGAAATTGGTTGAAATCTTGGTATTGATGATATATTTTGTTTCACAAGCTACATGTATTATTTTGTGAAATTTCAAATGACATTTATGATTAGTTAAATTAATCATGTCCAACATTTTCAATCAAATAAAATCAGCATTGCAGAGCATTACTAAGGTGATGACTGTCCAGTGTCCATGTGTCTCAAAGCCCAACCAGGGCTCTCAATTGCCTTGATCTTGGCCTTGAAGTGGGGGATAAGGCTATCATTGTTGAGAATGACCCATTTTGTGTTAGTTGATTTGTCTTTAAGGGGATATTTTTTTAAATAGATTAGATGTTTAAAAGATTGTATTGTTATAGGTTTAATGTAGGTTTTTGAAGTAATACCTGCTATGTAATATACTGATTAGAAGATCTGCTTTATAAATGGATATCTCTGTTGAAAGCAGTTATGATATAGATTCTTAGACCAGTGAAAATGGTAGAAGTTAGTATGTATAGAAACACCTGTCATATGATTCACAGGAACATCTTATCCACTGTGTTCTCTATTACTCAAATAATGCTGTAATTACAGGTCATTTAGTAATAGGGAACAGAGCGGATTGGATACCCCCTGTGTGGATGCTTACTATCTATGTAACTTTTTTCACAGGCTCAATACTATGGCGTAATCGGAATTGGCTCACCTCCTCAGCAGTTTAAAGTCATCTTTGATACTGGTTCATCAAATCTCTGGGTCCCATCAAAGAAATGCAAACTGACTGACATTGCTTGCTGTAAGTCTAGATTGTTTCTTTATGAGTGGACAAAACAAGTGTTATTACAAGCAGAAAAAAGTGCATGAATAAAAAAAATGTATTGTTATTATATGACACCCCCTCCCCCCCAAACAAAAAACAAAAAATAGAAAAAAAAAAAGAACAATCTACTCTATTTCTGATCCTTCACTGTATCCAGGCAGATGATATTCAAGTCTTGCAAATGTCAGTGATTTTTCTACATCCTCTTTAGGTCCGAATATCGGCCCTTTCCCCTCTCAAAAATTACCGATTTTTTCCCAATTTCTATTGCTTTTTTCCCAAAACAAAACCGATGTTGTTTTTGTTATATTGAATTTTTTACGTACGACTTTTCTAAAATGGAACGCTATTGTTCTCGGTCATTCAGACTCCTCAAATAATAGTAAGAAACAGCAGATTATGTTGTGCGTTTACAAGACGTAGAAAAACACATGGTCATGTCAAACCTGTTGTATAAATACATCGTAAGAAAGTGTAATGTGCATGTGAACCGGCAAAACGTAGCTCATTTGTAAATCCGAGTACTAGTAACTCTACAGTAAGCATCAAAATCAAACTGTTTCTACATCCGGCAGATGCAACTAGTATTGCATTGCTAGTATTGCAATATGATTAGCTAGGGTCATAAAAAAGCTTTAATAATTAGTTTGAAAAAAAAGATGATTTGTCATTTATCATGGCAGATTAGTCTATCTTCAATGGCTATTACGAGAAAGATTTTCTCTTATGTCTACCATTATGGCCAAAAAAAAAAAAAATGGAAATATAGGTTGGTCAAAAATTAATGACAACTTTCAAAGATTAAAAAAAGGGTTAAGAATTTAGAACTGTGTCTAATTTGTTACTTTTTAGCAAATAAATTGAATAAATGATGTTACATTTACTTATATACCAGTATTTCATTTTACCTGCCAATTAAGGTTAAATTTCAATCTTTTTGATTTTTCCCAATTTGATACATATGTCGATGATTTTTCCCAATTGTAAAGGCCCAGGCCCCTTTTAAAAAATGTAGAAAAATCACTGAATGTAAAAATTTTTTCAATGTAGGTTGCAAGATAAATAGCAAACATACAATATATTAACAGTTATTCAATAAATCATTTCAGTGTTGCACAATAAATATGATAGCTCCAAGTCCTCAACGTACAAGGCTAATGGAACAGATTTTGAGATTCGCTATGGAACTGGAAGTCTGAAGGGGTTTTTAAGCACCGACACTGTTACGGTAAGTCATACATTCTGATACATACAAAAATTATCTCGTTAAAAATTTAGCGCAATTTTTATCAACTGATTAGTGTTATCATAAATTAGTGAGCAAAACTTCTATATATTCTTTATCGTATTTGTTGATCAATTGTTTGTGCATGTTTGACACCTTTCTTTCACCATCTGCATCTATAGCAAGTCCATCTTTACAGTGTCAAGGTTTTGTGATACCATTCCTCTACACAAACCCTTGACAAAAGTCAATATTTGAAAGTCAGGCTTTTGGTTACACATGGCATAATGGTGATTTATACCAACCATTGAGAATATCTCTTTCAAATCCATCGTTATCAAATGGCTCAAAGCAACAGCACATCTTTGTGTTTGTTATGTGAAGGATCTTCCAAAAGTTTTTCAAAAAAATCTCCAAATTTCATTTGAGTTTACTATTCACAAATCCTACACATGTACAATATTGACACTTTCCATTTCAAAGACAAGTTATATTTGTTTAAAACTTACCTACTATAAAGGCTGTTTTGTTCTTGACAGGAACAAATGAAAAAGTAGCTTTCCAGCCCGACTTTTAAATAGTGACTTTTAAATTGTCAAGGGTTTGTGAAGAGAACAATAAGAGAACAATATCATAAAACCTTGACACAAGTGAAGATGTAGCAAGTCAGAAAGACATGTGACTGTAATAAAAATTTCTGCAGATTGACTTTTTATAACATAGTTATGTATAAATTATCAGTGATACTGTGATACAGTCTCAATGTCTGAATTGTAGCAAGTCCTGAAAATCTGCCACCAATTCAGCCTGAGTTTAGTGCCTTTAAAGCTGATTTAATTCCTGTCCAGAGTCATTTGAGGCCAACAATTAAAAAATGATCTGTTTGATGTACTCCAACTGATAATTAAAATCACTCCTACCCAATTTTTTCAGTACTTTAATTTTTTTTGTTTCTGGGGAAGTACAGATCATTTTTATGATTTCAATGACAATTATCTATGTGTTAGGAGATTCAAAAAAAAAAAAAATTACCCACCTTGAAAAATATGGTAGGGATTACATCAAACGAAACATTTTAAATGATGGCCTGAAATGCTTGTGAGCTTTTAGTTAATGTGCACACTGCTTTACAGGAAATTATTTATGGGGATCACTTATGTTATACACTGTCAGGAAGTGGTACTCAGTGGTGTCACATACATATAACTCATTCAAGTAACAGTATGAGCTTAGTTCACATTGTAGGTTGTAAATGACTTCATAAAAATGTATCATAAGTAAATGAGAATACTTTTATAGTTGAGCTTTTCTCTGACACCTAAGACAGATTACATTATGCAATCTGTAGGTACATTGATAATGATAGCTTTATATATCAGTAAGAAATATGGTCAACAAACTTTGAACCTTTACTCATATATATTTATCAGCATAAGTACTTTAGTCAAGGCCTGAATCTTAATTGTGTCTTACAGTAATTGAGATTTAAGAGATAATTTGAGATAATAGATGCATCTCATATCACAGTAGACAAAAGTCAGTTGTTATCTCTCAAGATGCTTGAACACATTGAACTGTCACAGCCTGAATCCATTATCTAGCACTGAAATGCAGTTGAACACTTTTTTGAACCAACATATAAACTTCACTTAGGTAATATTCTACACTCATTTAAGTGTAATTGTTGATATTATAATACATTCTAGTTTTTGTGGAAGGTCCATAATTACAACAGTACGTAAAGAATCGTATTGAATACTAACAAGTCTTCTTCATAAACATGATAAAAACACCAATATCCTAGATTGGAGACATCAAGGTACTGAACCAGACATTTGCAGAAGCAACAGAACAGCCAGGAATCACATTTGTGGCAGCTAAGTTTGATGGAATCTTGGGGATGGGCTACCCCCAAATCTCAGTAGATCATGTGTTACCAGTCTTCAATAACATGGTCAATCAAAAACTAGTACCAGCACCCATCTTTTCCTTCTACCTGGACAGGTGTGTATCAGCATCATTACATATTTTATTTCTTTATTGAAAGCAAAACCACTCTGCATATTTATATAATTTATTCCTTTTTTTTTTTTTTAAATTTCATTAAATGTGCAACAAAATCACTTGCAGCAAGCAAAGTGTATATGTACTGTCTAAATACAGTGTCATTCAGGGGCATAAGTATATCCAGATTAAAGTTCATTAAAAATCAATTTCGGGGGTTGTGTCCCTTTACAGTAATGTGAAAAGTAACTTGTCAGTTTTCTTGTTGGTTTACTTCAAACTTTCAAAGAGCACTGTCTAATAGCTAGAGTAAAGGATTCAAGTTACTTTATCTTGAATTTTGCAGGGTTATTTGTTCTTTTTATAATTTAGGAATGATAATAATAACTAAATCTGTAATTATTATAATAGAATATGGATAAAAAACAATTTGCAGAAATCCTACTGGCAAGGAGGGGGGTGAGTTAATTCTAGGAGGCAGTGATCCTAAATTCTACTCTGGTAACTTCACCTACGTTAATGTGACCCGACAAGGTTATTGGCAGATTAAAATGGATGGGTAAGTTCTATATACGTGGTGCATAAGCATAAAAAACAAACAAATTGAAGAGCATTCAGAATATTTGATGCTTATTGACAGATGACATTTTTTTTTCAAGAAAGTTTTATAAAAATCTCTTGGCTTTCCCTTTTGTCAGAATTCAGAATTTTGATTACTGAAATACAATTTTGTAATAACTTGTCTAATCAAAGTATTGTGCACACACACCACCATTTGTGGAGTCTATGTTTGCATCTTGACATTCAAGTTTTGTACACAATTCAGATTATATTTTTTCTGGAGAAAGCTCTCTCTCTCGTTTTCAGAGTTAAGCTTAATGGTAAAACCTCTAAATACTGCTCAGGAGGATGTAAAGCTATTGCTGATACTGGAACCTCCCTGTTAGCTGGCCCAACCTCAGAAATCAAGTCCCTCAACCAAGCAATAGGAGCAAAACCATTTGCAGCTGGAGAGGTATAGTTCCCATTTGTTTTGAGTTACATGTATTTTACTCCACTTTCCCAAGAGTGGGGAAATTAAATCTCACTGGTTTGTTAGTCTGTCAGTCAGTCTAGCTGTCTATCACAAAAACTTAACAGACAATGACTCGGTACATTTTTTATCTTAATAGCGCTATCATATGATTCATAATTACCTTGAAGTAATAGTCTCCGATAAAAAACAAATTGGACATGCTTTCTATATGCATTTTTTATAACAGTTTTTGTAAAACTTTCATGCTGGATGTCTTGAAATCTTCTCTATGATTTTCTGATACCAGCAGTATTTATTTAAGTGGTTAGATTAGTAAATTAGTAATCTTTTTCAGTACACAGTAGACTGTTCAAGTATTCCAAGTTTACCTCCAGTGAGCTTCACCTTAAATGGCAAAGATTTTACTCTTCAAGGCAAAGACTACATATTGACTGTGAGTATAGAGAGTAGAATCAAAACTGAGTACTGTTAGCTTGTTTTATCAAATTAAGTAGCTTGTACATTTATAAGAATTTTGCTGAGTTATCATTCTACCACTCATGTCTACCCTCACATTGTGCCTGTCATACATCACAAAAATCCGTATATACATGTACCTTCACTTTGTCTATTGACATATACATTTTGTGCCAGAGCAGAACAGAAGTATTGGAAGTATTAGGGATGTGTGATTTAATCAGTACACCGGAAAATCCTGCTTTTTTTTATTGCACAATACATACTGTGATATGGAGACTGAAATACTTGTATTTAATAGTATGTACAATGTAATTATAAATTCTGGAAATAATTAATTTTTCTGCCCCCATAATCATTGAAGTACAAACAGAAAGGTATTGATACTATTTATCCTATATGTATATAAGCATAAAGTTTCCCAATTTGGGTTGGGTGGGGTCTTTTTTCACAGTGTTGCTGGAGAGAGGTTTATTTCATTGATTATTCCATGTTTATGAGATTTGGATATTGACATTAATTTTTTTTTTATTTTAAAGCATTGTTTAGGAAGCGAAATGATTTTGTACATTTGAATGCATTGTTCAATATCCTATGTCCGTGAATGATATGTATACTTTTATTTAATAAGAGCACTTAGTAAACATGCACTATTTAAATAATTACAGGTAACTGAGATGGGTCAAACAATATGCTTGAGTGGCTTTATAGGTCTGGATATTCCTGCCCCTGCTGGCCCCCTGTGGATATTAGGAGATGTTTTCATTGGCACCTACTACACAGAATTTGATCTCAGCCAGAACCGAGTTGGATTTGCCAAAACCGTTAACTAATTTTTTTGAGTTTTGATCAAGAATTTCACATTTCAGAACTGCATTTTGATATTACAGTAAAAGTTGGTGTGTGCTCACTTTGAATAGATTCAGCAGGAAGAAGATATAGGAAGTTTTTTGAAAATAACAAACAGGATGATTTGTTTAAAAGCAGTTGTATTGTCCGATTAACAGGTTTGGTAAAAAGACATATATTTCATATATACAGTACATGTACATAAGTCTGCTCCTTCTATTCCCTTACAGTATTTACACACTAAGTTAATATTTAGCTGGTCTAAAGCAGAACAGAAAAACACGTGGAATGGCTATTGTTGTGCAGATACATGTAAAAATGCTTTACTTCAAATAATATCAGTTATCTTTAATATTCTTACTAACATGGCTTTTTTTTTGCTTCATTTATTAAAGCTTTCAGGTGTGGTTTGGCTGTTAATGCAATCTTGTGTTATAGACTTTCTGCATGGAATGGTCAATATATCTAACTCTGTAGTCTTTGTAGTGATTCCTGGATGTGTATCCCCTCGGGCACCAGAATTAAAACTTTGTTGAAATTACCTAGAAAAATCAATTATAAAACAATATAATTATGTCATTACAAGATGGAGAGTTGTTGGTATTCTATTCAGAAAGTTTAACTACATGTATCATTAAACTGCAAAATTTATGTACCAGTAGTTTAAATGCACAGCATTTCAGCATAGTTAATGCATTAAATTTTACTAATGCTACTAAAACACAAAGTAAAATTGAATAAAATTTAAATTGCCCTAGGAGATGCAAAGCAGCACTTGGAGTATTGGGAATTGCAGACTACAGAAAAAAAAATGATTAGCATTTGATATGATTTCAACAATTATGTGTATTAAAGGTTAATTTGACTTGATGTATGATATTACAATACTCTATTTATTATAGTGGAAAAAAAAAGATTGAGATGGTTTATCAAATGCTAAATTGTTTTAATGCTATTTTTAGCTCACCTGAGCCGAAGGCTCAAGTGAGCTTTTCTGATCACATTTTGTCCGTCGTCCGTCCGTCCGTCTGTCTGTCTGTCTGTCTGTCCGTCCGTCTGTAAACTTTTCACATTTTTGACTTCTTCTCAAGAACCACTGGGCCAATTTTGACCAAAATTGGTACAAAGCATCCTTGGGTAAAGGGGAATTTAAATTGTTAAAATGAAGGGCCAAGTCCCCTCACAAGGGGAGATAATCAAGAGAA